TTTGAAATCACTACGTTGCCTCGACATTCCCACACATTTCCATTAAAGGGAAGTGATCCATTCTTTTTCACATTTAACTCAATTAAAATAGGCAATTTAAATTAGATTTAATGCTTAAATAATATTAAATTAAACTTTCTTTTCAAAATTCGTCTCAAAGCACATTTTCACATTACATTCCCACTGGAGTGATAGTGCCTCCAACAAAGCGCGGGAAATTCAAAATTTTCCATTTCGAGATTTTTTCCAATTTTTGAAAATATAGGGTTCGTCAAAAATGGGACCACAGTCTTTACCGTTCTTTGCTACATATTATAACGATAAAAAATTCTGAGCCGCTTCTAAGAAAATAATTATTTAAAATGTTAAAAGTGAATGTTTGATTACACATAAAACTCACGTGTTCAAAAACGTGAACCTGATCTCACTTGATAATCTGTTTCTGATAAATACATTTCATGAAAAAAAATATCTTCGTAATTGTAGTTCTAGGAAGCCGCGAAAAACTTTACTTTTTGCAATTTTCGAAAAATCAGGGATTTCAATGAATATGAAACCAGCACCATTCAATAGACTATGCGACAACAATATTCAATCCAAAAATTTTGAGCTTTTTTTTTTGAAAATGTACCAGGTCCAATGTCCTTCATGTAAAGTACCCCCAAAAATTAAAATATCGGTTTTAAATTCAAGGAACGGACACATCAGCCAGATCAATTTTGCAAAAAATCGGCTAAACGGTTTAGCCGCTAGCGTCGTTGACAGACAGACGTTTTGCTGTCAATCGACCCGGTATTCAAGGACGCACAAAACATGGATTCTGGTTACACGTGTTAGAAAACATTTTCTATATTTAGTAACAGAAGTTAAAATTTTTTTTTTGTTACTAGGACACGGCATTAAAGAATTTTTCTGACGAAAATTTGCACTTTTTTCAGCAGCACTACATACATTTCTCTACACTGCGTAAGCAATAGCGAGAAATTAACTAGAAATGCAACAAGATGTCACAGACTTTCTAGAACTAGTAAGTTTTCTAATTTCTTTGGTCTGGTATAGATTTTTGGTCTTTCCACATACTCTTTCCAGCTGACATCTATCGGCGCCAAAAGTACATTTTTTGAAAATTTCTCATTTTTTGGTTTAATGATAGTAGAGCCGAAATATTACTTTAAGAATATTAAAGAAGAGTAAAACCTCGCAATAAATACCAATTTTCATTGGAAAATTAGGAACCATTATTAAGAAAATGGCGTTTAAGCGTTACTGTAAATGCAAAATTTGAAGCTTTTTTTGTTTTCCACTTCATTTGAAGTCATTTGAAGTATCTTAACTGACAAATGCAAGAATGTTTATGCATCGCAGGAAATGTGAATACATATCGCAAACATCAACATAACACTATTCACTCGTGTCGTACAATATTATTCATCGTTGGCTCGTATCTTACAAGATGATATTACCAAGGTCAAAATACAATACCTTGTTATGCCTACAAAGAAATCACATAATAGCAAAAGTTTTCCTCTAAGAAAAATGGAATTAAGAAATAATTAAGTTATATTTTCTTCATATTACATCATTTTCTCACTGTTATATTTTGAAGTTAAAAGAATCAGACTTCATGAGGTATATGTATCTACCTAAACATACAATGTTTCTACTTCTTTTGTATTCTGGAAAAATAAACAACTTCCTTATGCAGAGAAAAGGAAATTTGTAATTTTAGTAACCAAACAAGCCATCTTCATGTTTTAGAGATATTTTGTTTGCATTCAATGAATAACAGGAATATAATCCGTTGGTATTTTTCAAAGAAATTCTTCTTATTTCATACTTGGGTTTTCGGCGTTAATGAAATTAAAGAATTTCATTTAGAGTTATAAAATTATCTTATATGAGTATGTCCGGTAGTCCAATCAAAAAACATGGGAATTTATTCTACTCGCTCGTCAGTCAGATCTTCGAAGTTTAGTGAAGAGGTCATATACAGCAAGGATGTTCGGCAATCTAAGGTTATTTTAGACTTTTCCAAAGCCAACCAACAAGTTAATTCAAATAACTCTAAGAGGTGCACTCAAGCATTTCGAACACCTGCGCACACAAGTACACCTGTGATACCTCTAACTCCTATAAATGCCCACTTGTCTCACACCTCGCAATACAATTCCACCATGGCGACAAGCAACGTTGCGGCATTCCTACTACTGCTTCTAGGTAAGAGAACTTATACATTTACCAGCGTCATGCCAATATACGTTTGCTCTCGGGAGAAATGATTTCAGCGCTCTAGCAAATTATAAATTATATTCGACAGTAAACTTCCGTATAAGAAATGGATTTTGAAGTTGTTAAAATTCTTTTGAAAATTTTTGGTTGTTGTAAAGATATTATTGTAATTCTACATGATACCTTTTTATTAAACAAATTAATATATTACATAAGAGTAGACCTTGTTTTGAAGTTATTATTACGAGTAAAATGTTAACATTTACCCTAATTTCTAAACCGCGGTGAGATATTCTGTTCCAAATATCATTAATTGCAAAAAATAAACATTAACCTATGTTGAAAAGAACCTTAAGTTGTGAATATTAAAAACTGCTTTTAATAGTACTGTTTATTTCTTCTTATGAAGGTTTATTCAAGATGCTGTCTACTATGTTATATAAGTATTTCTTTACTGGCAATGAGCTAATTACGTTTAAAGCAGTTTGAGAAAGAGATTCGCAACCCAAAGGTGAAATAATAGAACATATTTATCAATTTGCATTAAACATAAGCGTTACAAATAATGCGTGAAAGTATGTGCTCTGCTGTAGTAACACGATAATCGTGTATATATTATGAGGAGGTAGACGCATTTTTGTAAAAAAAAAAGTTGCACGTTAGTATAAAGAACTGAAACTGGAACAACGAGAAAAGGTGTTACACTATGTGATCAAAAGTATCCGGGAACGTCCAAAATGCTGTTACGGTGCGGTCGTGTTTTCCGTGGTGGGGGTTGGCACTCCTTGTTGTTTTGTGTGGCACTATCATGGTTCAGGCATACGTTGATGTTTTAAACACCTTCTTGCTTCCCACTGTTGAAGAGCAATTCGGGGATGGCGATTGCATCTTTCAACACGATCGACCACCTGTTCATACTGCACGACTTGTGGTGGTGTGGATACACGACAGTAACATCCCTGTAATGGACTGCCATGCATCGAGTCCTGACTTGAATCCTTTCGAACCCTTTTGGGATGTTTTGGAACGGGGACTTCGTGCCCGGCCTCACCGACTTAAATCGATAGCTCTCCTCAGTGAAGAATGCCGTAAAGAATGGTCTGCCATTCCCCAAGAAACCTTCCATCACCTGACTGAAAGTATGCCTGCGAGAGAGGAAGCTGTCATCAAGGATAAGGATGGGTGAACACCCTAATGAATTCCAGCATTACTGATGGAGGCCGCCACGAACTTGTAAATAATTTTCATCCACGTGTACGGATACTTTTGATCACATAGTGTATGTCTGTTTCCCTCATCCCAGCCTACCCACATACTCTCCAGTCTGTAAGACACAGACAAGTGGTGGAGGAATAAGTACTACGATGTTTTAATGGGCTAGATACAGCTTCCAGCAGGTGAAGGTTTACAATATTTCCATTTTTTTTATCCAGCGTAATTATACTTCAGAGCAGTGAAAATGAACAGACGCACAGAAATATATTTCTTCTGCAAGGAAAAATTTGCTTTTAATTTTCTTTTTTGTTTTTTAATCAAAATTCAACCAGTTTTAATGCCCTGACTAGTTTTTCCCTGATAACTCAAATTATTTTGAAGAATTTTTCCAACTCTTTTGATTTGTAGGAAATACTTACAGGTACAAAACAATGCTCTTTCATTTAGATTTATGAATGATTAATATTTTTAATTTGAATTTAAAATTAATATATTGATTATTAATCGTTTTATGAGTATTATACTTTTATCACAAAAACTATTATACTGAAGTGTATCATTTAGCATGGTTTTAGAGATAAGACTTGGTTCCATGCATCATAAAAATTTCATGCATGATTAGTTTTCGATTTATAAGAAAAATTATCACAAAACTGTAATTCTGGAAAATGAGCAACGAAGTTTAATGCGCGAGTTTTGCTTAACGCACTACTCCAATAGAAGCATGATGTTGCGACGTACCTTTTAAACAATAATTCGAAAACTATTGCAGATATCGAAATGTTTGTTTGTTTTTAGCAAAATATTCCAAAGTAATTTAATGCATAGAAACATTGTTTCGAAAACTCTCTTTTTAGTTTTTAAGGTTATCTCTTCCCTTTAAAATGCCTGTAGGAATCACACACTTTTTATCCAGAAAAAAGACGGAAAAAATTGTAGCAGTGTATTTATTCAACTTGTGTTAGTAAGGGATCTATAGAGAGTGAGTGGCGTGGCGTGTGCAGACGCGGTGACGGCGGGCGAGGGCCAGGGCGACGGCGGAGCGGTGCTTCGGCTACGACCGCGGCAAGCTGCGACGAGTCGCCAGACATCGAAATATTATTTCCACTAAAATATTATTAAATAATTAATGCACATATAAGTTTTTGTGAGAAATCGTTGTTTTTCAGGGTTTTAAGGTGTATTTCCTCCCTTAAAAATGCCTGTTAGACCCTTTTTATCCAGAAAAAAAATTGTTGTAGCAGTGTATTTATTCAACGCGTATTAGTAAAGGAGGTGTAGAGAGAGCGTGGCGTGGCGTGGCGAGGGAGGGCCAGGGCGAGGGCGCCTGGCGGAGCGCAGCAAGCTGCGACGAGCCACCAGTTACCGAAAAATTATTTTCACCAAAATATTATTAAATAATTAATGCACATATAAAATTTTTGTGAAAAATCGTTGTTTTTTTAAGGTTTTTAGGTGTATCTCCTCCCTTAAAAGTGCCTGTTAGACCCTTTAAATCCAGAAAAAAGAAGAAGAAAATTGTAGCAGTGTATTTATTCATCGTGTGTTAGTAAAGGAGGTGTAGAGAGAGCGTGGCGTGGCGTGGCGTGGCGTGCGCAGGCGCGGCGGCGGCGGCGGCGGGTGAGGGCCAGGGCGAGGGCGGCTGCGCGGAGCGGCGCTTCGGCTACGACTCGGTGGCGTGCGCGTGCAGCGCGGCGCGCTGCGACGAGCCGCCCGGCGAGCCGGCGGGCGGGCTGCGGCCGCTGCAGCTTCTGCGCGTCGTGTCGACGCGTGCGGGTCTGCGCATGCAGCCGTCCGTCCGCGACCTGCGCACGCAGGCAGCCCCTCTCGACGCAGACAACGCAGGTGAGTACCGCGCGCCGCAACGTCGGTTCCGCGCCTGCGGCGTTGGATGGGACGGTCCGGGCTTCCAGTCTTGACGGTGGCGGATTTGCGACGCTGCTGGGTTATGAATATTAGCTGTTTTGCTTCTCTGAGCCGTCAGTTATCTGTGGTTCCCCGCTTCAATACTAGACGGTTTCTCGACCAGTACCTTAACTGCACACCGATTACGCCAGCTTCCCTCCCTCATTCTTGCCCTCTTCTCTTCCAATAAACACACACACACACAGACTTTAATGCATTTCGGTATCCTGATGGGTGATTCTGATAGCAGAATCCAGCGAGACGACATGTAGGTGAACGTCGGCACTCAAGTTCCAGGGAATCACGTCCTGGGATATAACATGCACTACACTTACGGAACCAATAATCTTGCTAGTTGAGCAGAAAAAAATACTCACTCACGGGGCAGTAACAAAAAAGAGGAAGTACATGCTTCGTACATACTTCATACGTAACAATCGACAATTATCTAAAATTTACGTTTATTAAAAATTAAATATTAAAATTATATTCACACCAAACGATTTCGATCACTATTGCTTTTAATTCATCTTAATTCATTATGTCAATTTAGAAACATTCTTATAAAATGAGATTTTTTAAGATATTTTATAAAATGAGAATTTTTATGAATGATAAAGCGTTATGGTTTATTAAGTACCATTTTGGGCAGTGGTAACTCGTGGGGTCACCGCTTGGAAAGTTGATGGAAGTATGCTAGTTCAGAAATATAAACTGTGAAAAATGAAGGACCCACATTAACTTTAAGAGTAATTCAAAACTGGATTGGGAATAAACAACTGATTGAATTTATTAAGTAGACCAAGATTATGGAAACTCACCGCACTCACATTTCATAAATAATATAATGAACATTACCTTCTTTTGCAAGTGTGAATGAGAGGAGTCATCGAAACTCCCGCTGAATTAATTGTACGTAGGTCTCCTTAGCTAGTATCAAAACTTCGCCACGGACGGGACACACCCATAAGCCCTCTCGGGTCTACGCAAGACAACACATGACAAGCCTGCGTACACTTGGATTTAAACATAGCTTCAGTTGACTATCTCAGCTGTCACGGTGTCATCCAATCGGGAAGTTGAACGCCACCATAGTGGCGTAACTGTTGTGAAGTGGGAGCTTCCGATTACGTGGCACCGCTACAGCTATATGTACATCAAATGAAGCTCTAAATAAATGGTCCAGCAGAGCTGCTGAGGGCATCAACTGATGTCATTGCAGCCCCTCTTACCGGGAGGTCCTAGGTTCGAGTCCCGACGGTGGCAGGATTTTCGACACTAGTTTGTCAACTAGATCGAATTCAGTCGCTGTCTGGAAGAGAACTCTTGCGGCCGGCTGGTCTGATCGGTAGCTTTCCGTAGTTTCTCCGTTCAACGCCAGGCAATACCCAAACAAACGAGCCACGGACCGCGCGCAATCTCATCTTCCTCTTTCCTCGTCCTATTCTCATCGCTTACACTAAAATACACTACCACAAGTGCCGAGAGACCGGTCGGGAGCTTCGAGCATGTCCCGCTGGGGCGGTGCCCCGCTGGTGGGAGATACCTGGCTGGAGAAACCCCCCGGTAACCGACGGTGTATCGGCGCAGGATCTCTCCATACAGCGGGTGGAAGACCACAGCCTTCTCCCGCACTACACTTTCGGGACTAATGACTCCTTTTAGTAGTTGCCGCGCCCAGAATTATTTCACAATCTAAATAAATAAATGTGTGCGTTGCGAGAGCACATAAATGTGTGTGTGTGCAAAACATGCACTACACTTTCGGGACTAATGACTCTTTTTTTTTTTTTAGTAGTTGCCGCGCCTGGAATCATTTCACAATCTAAATAAATAAATATGTGCGTTGCAAGAGCACATAAATAAATGTGTGTGCAAAATATGCACTACGCTTTCGGGACTAATGACTCTTTTTAGTAGTTGCCGCGCCCGGAATTATTTCACAATCTAAATAAATAAATGTGTGCATTGCGAGAGCTCATAAATAAATGTGTGTGCAAAACATGCACTACACTTTCGGGACTAATGACTTTCCTCTTCTTTTTTTTAGTAGTTGCCGCGCCCGGAATCATTTCACAATCTAAATAAATAAATGTGTGCGTTGCGAGAGCACATAAATAAATAAACGTGTGTGAAAGTGTATGTGATGCGAGAGCCGTGCTCGGCGCCGCGCGCGCGTGCGCAGACGGGTCGGCGGCGCCGGCGCGCGTG